TTAGATTTATACAGGGCGAGATGAAAAAACTGCAACCAATTTCAGACTGCTGTCATTTCTAAGCCAGTCGCCCGACAGCTGTTAAAAGTATTCCAATGACAGCTCATTTTATTGTTTACAAACGTACTTTGGTGAGAATTTTCAGGAAAAGTTATTCGTGATGGAATACAAGCGTGATGTTATTTCTTTATATTTGGCTTGAAAACCACCACTTAGAGCATTTAAATGTGAATAAATTTTTTGAGTCTCGTACCATCGCTCGTTACCGTGATACTGGTAGCGGAGCCCGAGGTCAAGAAAACAGCAACATCAGCAGAAATGGTTCGAAAAGTAAAGAAGCGACTTGATCGCAACCCGCGTCGTAGTGGACGAAAAATGGCTCGTGAGCTGAACATATCGCAATATTCTATTCGGCAAATATTAAAACATGAGCTCGGATTAAAGCCATTAAAATTCCAAAAAGTTACACCGCAACGAAAGAAAATAGACTCAACAGAGGTAAAGAGTTGCTTCGCTTGGCCGAAAGTGGTGAACTGCCGAATTTGGTTTTCTCCGATGAGAAAACATTCGTTGTCCAGCAGTTTGTAAACAAACAAAATGATCGTGTTTACTTGCCTAAGAGGCCAGTTGCAAATGTGCACCTTTGGTTGGCCACCAGAACTCAAGCGCCGGCCATGGTGATGGTGTGGGCCGCCATAACAGCCGATGGTCGCTCTCCGCTCGTATTAATCGACCATCATAATAAATGCCGAATATTATCGCGAAAATATTTTGGAGGGTGAAGCCTTGGGCACTCAAACATTTTGGCCGCAGACCTTCGACAATTCAACAGGACTCAGCATCATCGCACTCAGCACGCGCCACCCAAGAATGGTTACAAAATGAGGTTCCTCGCTTGATTTCCAGCGCACAATTGCCACAATAATCTCCGGATACCAATCCGTTGGACTGTTGTATCTGAGGTATTTTGGAAAGCAAGGTAATTCAAAAATACCAAAGCGTCTATCACCTCAAGCAAGCGCTTCGCCGGGAATGAGCCAAAATATCGCAGAGCAACATTCGGGCAGCGTGTGACGATTTCAATTGGTCGTTTGAAGGCCAAAATTCGTGCCAAAGGTGACCAATTCGAACAAATCTAAACTTATTCTAAAATTTGATGTTATTTCCGACATTTTTTTATAATTTAAAAAAAATTTAATAATTATGGCGTTTGACTTTGTTGCAGTTTTTTATCTTACCCTGTATTTATATATCATAGGTGATTGACCTACAAATGCATTTCGATATAATTCCGATGGGAATTATATTTTTTCTTTTATCTTTTTCATGTAAAATATTCAAAAAATGTTAAAAAGTAACCCAGCGTACATCCATGTCTGAAATAGAGAGGGGCACCCAATTAGCCTAATCCAACAGACATTAGATCTTTCATTTTGATTCCCACACATTTCCATCAATTTTGATTGCATACTTTTGGGCCCAAATGTGATTTAAATTTAGTATTGCAATCGTTTGCCTCTTAGTATGTTTTTATTTTTAATTTCCAGCACAACTTTCAATTTTTAATATAAATTTAATTTACTAAAATTTCTAATTCTCCAAAAAAAATATATATTCGTAAAGTCAATTAAAAGTTAATTTTTCAATATTGTTTGCTTCCGCAACAACAATTTCGTTGTTGTTTTACATTTTATCATGAAATATGTTTTTAACTTTTAAACTATAACGTTTAGTTGTTGTTAGCTGGCTGGCTAGCTAAGCTCAATAGGATGGGATGGATGCAAGGCTTAGCAACAAAATGCATTCAACTTTCAATGCATTGAGCAGGGCCAATACCTTCCTTACACACACACGCCAACACACACTCTCTCTCTCAAAACAAATTTAATTTCACCAATAAAATTTGCAAACCCCTAATCCGTTCACTTTCTGCCTGGAGGCATTTAATTTGTTAATGTTTATTGAATTTGCTTGGGTTTTGGCCAGCTCCAAAAAAGGCAAGCAGCCTCGTCAATGTGTGCTGAAGATGAAACTAGTTTTGTGGTTAGCTGGACCAGTTTTGTTTGGCAACAAAGCGGTGGGGAAATTAAATGTAAGTTTTAAATTGTTTTTTTTTTTTTTTAAATTTTGGCCAAAACAAAACGATGTACATCAAAGTCTACTTAAAGTTCGTTTGGATTTGATTATAAAAATTGGGTCAAATTTTAAATTTAATATAAGGACGATAATGAGGCGATACACAAGGCAATTGCCCAGAACAACTGTGACTGGTAAAACTTTCAAAAAAAAAAAAAGAACGAATTTTTACAAAACAAAAACAAAAAAAAAGAATTTTGTGATTTCCAAAAGAAGTTAATAAAGTTATTTAACTTTTTATACTTTTTATACCCTCCACCATGGTGTACGTTAAGTTTATCATTCCGTTTGTAACACCTCGAAATATATATTTTGGACCCCACTTGATCAGCGATGACAGTCCGACTGTCTGCCCGTCTGTGGAAATCACTATAGCTTCCGAACGAATTGAAGTGGATTGATAAAATTGTATTAAAATGTGTAAAAACAGGACGTTTGGTTTTTAAATGGGCTATATAGGTCCACGTTTACTAATAGGCCCCATATACCTACACCTCCCTATATTGAGTATTTTGAAGATATTAGCGACATTTTTCACTGGAATATTTTTTTTAAATTTGGTATTTGAAGTTCGTAATGGATACTACCGCCTAAGACAAAAAATTGTCTGTGCAGGTCTACGTCTTCGTATAGCCCCCCATATAACGGCACCTCGCGATATTCAGTATTTTTATGATTTACGGGAATCGTTTCAAATTTCGTAACGATAGTGGGTAATAGGTTCTATGACAGAAAATTGCGTACGCAAGTCCAAGACAGTGTATAACCCCCATATATCGGTACCCTCCTACATTCGGTATTTTGATGATTTTAGCGATATTATTCACCGGAATTGTTTCAAATTCGGTATTAAGAGTTTGTAACAGATACTACAGCCTATGACAGAAAATTGTCTGTGCAGGTCCACGTTTTCGTATAGCCCCATATAACGGTACCTCCAGATATTCGGTATTTTGATGATTTTAGCGACATTATTTACGGGAATCGTTTCAAATTCGGTATTAAGAGTTTGTAATAGATACTACAGCCTAGGACTGAAAATTGTCTGTGCAGGTACACGTTTTCGTATAGGCCCCATATATCAGTACCTCCCTATATTCGGTATTTTGATGATTTTAGCGACATTATTAACCGGAACTGTTTCACATTTGGTATTTGAAGTTCGTAATGGATACTACAGCCTGTGACAGAAAATTGTCTGTGCAGGTTCACGTCTTCGTATAGGTCTCATATATCAGTACCTCCCTATATTCGGTATTTTGATGATTTTAGCGACATTAATAACCGGAATTGTTTTAAATTTGGTATTTGAAGTTCGTAATGGAAACTCCATCCTATGACAGAAAATTGTCTGTGCAGGTCCACGTTTTCGTATAGCCCCCATATACCGGTACCTCCCGATATTCGGTATTTTAATGATTTTAGCGACATTATTAACCGGAATTTTAGTAAACTTGGCACTTGAAGTTCGCACTGGAAACTACAGCTTATGACAGAAAATTGTTAGTGCAGGTCCACGTCTTCGTATAGCCCCCATATAACGGTACCTCCTGATATTCGGTATTTTGATGATTTTAGCGACATTATTAACCGGAATTGTTTCAAATTTGGTATTTGAAGTTCGTAATGGAAACTACATCCATGACAGAAAATTGTCTGTGGAGGTCCACGTTTTCGTATAGCACCCATATAACGGTACCTCCCGATATTTGGTATTTTGATGATTTTAGCGACATTATTAACCGGAATTTTAGCAAATTTGGCACTGGAAGTTCGTAATGGATACTACAGCCTAAGACTGAAAATTGTCTGTGCAGGTCCACGTTTTCGTATAACCCCCATATAACGGAACCCACGATATTCGGCATTTTGATGATTATAACGACTTTATTAACCGGAATTGGTTCAAATTTGGTATTTGAAGTTCGTCATAGATACTACAGCCTATGACAGAAAATTGTCTGTGCAGGTCCACGTTTTCGTATAGCCCCCATATAACGTTACCTCCCGATATTCGGTATTTTGATGATTTTAAGGACATTATAAACCGGAATTGTTTCAAATTTGGTATGTTAAGTTCGTAATGGAAACTACAGCCTAAGACTGAAAATTGTCTGTGCAGGTCCACGTTTTCGTATAGCCCCCATATAACCGTACCTCCCAATATTCGATATTTTAATGAGTTTAGCGATATAGTAATGGCTGATGACAAACAATGCCTATGTAGGTCCACGTCATATAGACCCCAATATAAAGGCAATATTCGGTATTTTTAAAATTTAACAGAATTTTTTAAGGATTTTATTTTTTGAAAATTTCCAAATTCGTTCAAAATGGTGGATGGTATTTAAAGTACGGCCCGGCCGAACTTACTGCTTTTTAACTTTTTAAAGATTTTAGCAAAATTTTTAAGGATTTTTTTTTTGAAAATTTCCAAATTCGTTCCAAATGGTGGAGGGTATTTAAAGTTCGGCCCGGCCGAACTTACTGCTTTTTAACTTGTTTACATTTTTTTTTTTTTGTAAAATTTATAAATTCTTTTCAAATGATGCAGGCTATTCAATGTCGGCCCGGCCGAACTTACTATTTGTTTTCTTTCAAATGGCTTTAATCCTTTTTTTCTTTAAACACACCAAACATATTCTGCCACAACATTTATATTCCTTGCCACCATTAACATTTTCAAACATTTCCAATTTCATTTTACATCACTTTAAACGACTGCGATAATAACTAGCAAAAAATATTGCAAAAAAGGCGCACACACATATGTTATTACCAATTGTAGACCGTAACGAAAGTATGAAAGAGTTAATAAAACGAACGACGACAGATTTTATTTTTTATTTTCTTCATAAACTTACATTTTCATATGTTTGCCGTTGTTGTGGCGTCATTTTGGCTTGTTGACGCTTCCATCCAATTCCGGCTACGAAGGCAACTGTTACACAGCCCAAGGCGCCTGCTGATGGATACTTGATAGCTTTACTGCCCATTACAGCGATGGTGCCACCCAAGACGGTCAAGACAAAACGTAGGCCATTTACATAGGTCTGTGAAAGAGAAATGAAGAAAGAGAGAGAGAGAAAAACAAATCAGAAAAACGGAAAGACAACATTAAAAAACATGGTTGTTGAAAGCAAGCGGCATATTCACATAAATTATTTAAGATAAAATGTAACGCTGAGAGGAATGTAGGATAAATTGTGTATGGGTGTATATATATGGTTTGCATATTATGCTTAAAGTAATTAAACTGTATTCGTAGTATGAATACATAAACCTATTTTTACCATAAATAATCCTATAATAACATTAAAATGTGTATATAATTGTTTTAAGGTCTTATAAAAAAAGAGACCCTCTTCACACTTATGAAAATCAAAGTATTCGCAGTGGTTGGAAACAAATATAACCGTGGTTAAGATCGACTCATCCACCAAGGGTAATAAAATGTCTCAAAATTCCTAAATATTGGGGCTTGACTCTGCTGAAAAATTTGATAGCAATTCAAAATATAACAACACTTAAGTATGGAAGTAGTGCTAACAACAGATGCTAACGTTTATCGGAATATTACATATAACAATACGAGGATTATTTCAATCTAAAAAATATTAATCCTCAAGAGAGTCAACAAGAGTGTCTTTTGTCTTTTATACCTTCAGCCATATGGCTACAGAGGGTATATATCATTTAATACGGTCGTGCCTAGTCGAAATAACGGTTTTAGACCCTAGGTCTCTTTGGACCAAATCCGTTCCAGAACATTTGGAGTCGATCTTCCGATGTCCGTCCGTCCGTCCGTCTGTCTGGCTGGCTGATGCGCACAATAACTCTCGAAGGAAGTATCCGATCTGATCCAAACGTGGTACATCGTAATATTTTTGTCAAACTTAGATCGAGTTCGGAGATGGGCAATATCGGTTCACTCCTTCTGGTACCTCCCACACAAAATGTCAAAATTTTCAAAGAAACGAATTTATTGCACAGAAAGAGAAAGGATAATCCGATTTTGCTCGAACTTTTAAAATAATAATATTTTCATCAGTGCTAGGTCAGGTGCAAAAATGGACAATATCGGTCCACTCCATCAAGTACCTCCCCCACAAAGGGTCAAAATTTTGAATAATTACAACTCTTATAAAATGTGATGTAAGAGTCCGACAGTCTTTAAATTTCACACATCCCAATAATTTTATTAGGCCAAGGTCTGGCTCGGTTCAGTCCTTCGGGTACCTCCCCCACAAAAGGTCGAAATTAAAAAAAAATATTTTATGCACATAAAGAGAAGCAATAAATCGATTTTGCTCGAATTTTGCAAATCCCAATATTTGCGTCAGTGCTAGGTCGTGTGCTAAAATGGACAGTATCGGTCCACTCCATCAAGTACCTCCCCTAAAAGGGTCAACATTTTGACATTTTTAACTCTTATAAAATGTGATGTAAGGATCTGAACGTCTTCAAATTTTCCACATTCCAATATTTTTATAAACCCAAGATCTGGTGTTGACATGGGATGTATAGGTCCACTCCTTCTGGTACCTCCCCTACAAAGTGTCGAATTTTTGAATACCTACGAAGCTCATAAAACGCCAAATTAACATCCGATTCCATTTAGTCTTGGCACATCTCAATAGTTTCAATAGTTTCTTCTGGTACATTCCCCATACATAGGTTTCAAGATTTTGAAAAACCAAACACTCAAATAAAGCGAAATAAGCATCCAACTCTCTTCAAATCTCACACATACAAATATTTTTGCCAACACAAGATCTGTTGTGAAGTTGATATATATCTGGGAACCCCTTCCGGTACCTCACCCACAAAGGGTCACAATTTTCAATAATTTTATCTGTCATAACTTTCGAAACAATTTAGCAATTCTTTACTACTTGGTATGCTCAAATATTTCTCTCAATAAGAAGCCTGATATGAATATGAAATTTATCGGAATTTATGATTTCGCATAAAATTGCAAATAAATAACCTTTTTAGTAATTTTGCCCAATATTTCGCTCAATATTTTTTATTTGTATCAGATAAAGTATAAAAATGGAATATTTCGGTAGACTCTATCTGGTACATCACGCACATTTTAACATTTTCTAAAAATTATTACAGATCTCATATAAAGTGAAGGAGTGAGTCGATATAATCTATACCAGGAACGTCGGAATATTTATATCATATTTTTGGGTCCGATACGAAGTGGACAATATTGGCCCATTCCTTCGGAACCTGCGCCATACAGGGTCAAACGTTTGAAGAATTGTAACACTAGTCAAATATATTTCGATTATTTAATCGAACATAGGCTAAGGGTATATATCTGTCAGCAATACCGACTTTTAAATCGCATCGAAATTCAAAATATTCTACAAAATTATTTGTCATTAACTTCTATCAGAAGTCTAAATCTTCAAAACAGTACGCAAAAAATACATTTTCCATGACCCCAATCGAATATGGAAGTTGAGGTAAAAACAGAAGACACATATATCTGCGTTTCGAAAGCTGATATTGCCAATTACCTAAAATAAGGTCACAAGTTTCACCCACTTTTCACATCTTTTAAAGAGGGTAAGATGAAAAAACTGCAACCAATTTCAGACTACTGTCATTTCTAAGCCACTCGTCCGACAGCTGTTAAAATTATTCCAGTAACAGCTCATTGAATTTTTAACAAGAGTACAACATCATTTTGGTGAGAATTTTCCAGAAAAAAAGTTATTTCTGATGGAATTCAAGCGTGATAGTGTGATCTCTTTATATTTGGCTGGAAAACCACAAGTGGCTATGGCTAAGAGCACCCATGTGAATAAATCTTTTGTGTCTCATAACATCGCTCGTTACCTTGATACTGGTAGTGTAGCCCGCCGTCAAAGAAGTGGACGGAAGAAAACAGCAACATCAGCAGAAATGGTGCGAAAAATAAAGAAGCGACTTGATGGTAAACCGCGTCACAGTGACCGAAAAATGGCTCATGAGCTGAACATATTGTAATATTCCATTCGGAAAATATTGAAAAATGAGCTCGGGGCAAAGCCATTGAAATTCCAAAAATTTCAAGCGCCGGCCATGGTGATGGCATAGGCCGCCATAACAGCCGATGGTCGCTCTCCGCTCGTATTAATCGACCGTGGTATCAGAATAAATGCCGAATATTATCACGAAAATATTTTGGAGGGTGTATTAAAGCATTGGGCAACCAAACATTTTGGCCGCACACCTTGGACTTTCCAACTGGACTCATTACCATAGCACTCAGCATGCGCCACCCAAGAATGGTTACAAAATGAGGTTCCTCGCTTCATTTCCAGCGCGCAATGGAAATGCCAGCATCTTACCCTGTATAGGGGAGTTATTGTAATATCTAAACCGATTTTCTCCATATTTAATGTACTTGCTTCTAGACTGAATTCGGTCGGATGTGCTAAAATTCAGGTCATTAGGACTGATATTGGCCATTTGGTGCACAATTAATCGGAGCTATATTTAAATTTAGTCATTGTTTTCCATCTCCATATCAAAGGTAAGCATGAGGAATTTTTCAAAGTACTATTACGATACAATCCCTAAATGGTTATATATTTTAAATGACAAAACCTATTATTTAAATGACAGATCGAACTAAAACATTTAAAGGCAAACAACCGTTTATACAAATAAATGTGTGTGTTTTGCAAAAAATGCCACATCAAATCAATTGTTCTGGGTAGTGCAACAATAGAATATTTTGTCGAAGCTTTGCGGGGGAGGGTTGGAGGTGGGCCACGGGAGCAAAACAAAAAATTTGGGGCGATTTTGCGTGAGTAGCACAGCTGTATAAATGTTATTTTGTGACCATAAAATAGTTTCGGTGAATGCAACATATGTACATTTCTAGATGAACTGGTGAAATTGGACTGGTACTAGGCTTGGCTTTCCATTGCTGCTGCTGATGTTGTTGTTGTTTCAGTTTGGTTGGATGGTTGGTTGGTTCGTTGCTGGGGTTTAGAGAAGGCCCAGACACAAACAACGCCAGTTTAGTTTGGTTTTTAGCCATGATGTTTGTTATTCGGTTGGATTTTCTTTTTTTTTTTATACCCTCCACCATACTGTGGAGGGTATATTAACTTTGTCATTCCGTTTGTAACTCCTCGAAATACCCATGTCAGACCCAACAAAATATATATATTCTTGATCAGCGTAAAATTCTAAGACGATTTAAAAAAATTTGCACACATGTTTATTTTTCCAGTAGGCAGGTTAAGTTCGTAATGGGCCATGTAGGTCAACGTCTTCATATAGTCCCCACATACCGTTATGTGGTATTTTGATGTTTTTAGCGACATTATTCACCGGAATTGTTTCAAATTTGTTATTTGAAGTTCAAAGGGGATACTACACCCTAAGACAGAAAATTGCCTGTGCAGGTCCACGTCTTCGTATAGCCTCCATATAACGGTACCCCCAGATATTCGGTATTTTAATGATTTTAGCAACATTTTTCACCAGAATTGTTCCAAATTTGGTATTTGAAGTTCGTAATGGATACTACAGTCTATCACAGAAGATTGTATGTGATGATCCACGTCTTCGTATAGCCCCATATAACAGTACCTCCCGATGTTCGATATTTTGATGATTTTACCGAATTTATTCACCGGAATTGTTTCAAATGTGGTATTTGAAGTTCGTAACGGATGCTACAGCCTATGACAGGAGATTATCTGTGCAGGTACGTGTCATCGTATAGCTCCCATATAACGGTACCTCCCGATATTCGGTATTTTGATGATTTTAGCGACATTATTCACCGGAATTGTTTCAAATTTGGTATTTGAAGTTCCAAATAGATACTACAGCCTAAGACAGAAAATTGTCTGTGCAGGTCCACGTCTTCATATAGCCCCCATATAATGGTACCTCCCAATATTCGGTATTTTGATGATTTTAGCGTCATTATTCACCAGAATTGTTTCATTGTGACAGAAAATTGTCTATGCAGGTCCAGGTCTTCGTACAGGCCCCACATACCAGTACCTCCCTATATTCGGTATTTTGATGA